ACTAGATTGTTTCCTTCAAGGAGTGCCGGACCAACCGGGCTGTGGTGGGTATGTGGGCCTGCGGGCCGTTCCAAGCAACAGCCTGGTGGACCAAACTCTCACAAGTCAAGTCTGGCCTTGGGCCAGGTTTGGGGAGTAGAAAAACTCCCAGAACTCCATCAACCAGGTATCAACCAGGGCCGCCCTTGGAGTCGGCTGGGGTTTTGTTGCCCTGGTTTGTCTCTGGGTAAGTGGTAGTTTTCATCACTGGTAGGGGCGTGGGGTACCGCACAGTTAGTTTTCACCAATGACAGCGGCCGGCTCTGTTCCGCCTGGGTACGTTGTCTTCTTGTGGGGTTTTTCTTTTGTTTTTGTTTTTGCCTGGTAGGAGTCTGCCTTTATTGCCCCCCATTCCTGTTCTAGATATTTTTCTTTCGATTTCTTCTGTTGGTAGTACTCCTCGCTTGGCCCCCGTGAGTGGACATGTCCCGGGGGTTCAGCTTTTCCCTTAGCGTGTACCAATGGCTAAGGGCCCTGGGAAAACCCACGGGGGCTCCGTGGTCCTATAGGTGTGTCCTCGGAGTCCCTCTCACGTCCTGCGAGTTTGACGGTTGCTCTGTCCCCTTGTCTCAGGGTGACACTCACCAGTTGTGCCTCCGCCATGCTGCCTGTTGGGTTATTGTTTCTTGTGACCTGGAGTCGTACGACGGGTGTTGTCGGTACGTGCTCTTTTACCCAGGCCACTGGTCATGATAATCGGGTGCAGGCGGCTGCAGCATTGCTTGCTTCTTGCTGCAACGCTCTTGGTTGTTTGCGGCCCCAGATGCCCCGAGGCTGCCCTGTTTTGGTAGTTGGGGTCCGGACTTTGGGGTGGGGGTCGCTTCGGCTCTGGCTCCTTCCGCTCCTTGTCCTTCCCCTTCCCCTTCTGTTCTACACACTTCCTCCCTTGCTTCCTGCTCCGAACCGTAGGCAGGTTTCGGGGTTGGGGCGGGGTCTGGTTGGGTTGAGACTCGGGAGGTCTGGGGGGTTTTCCTCTTCCGGGGTGGCGGCGGAGGCATTCGAGTCGGTTCCTCCAGCTGTGCCGTATGGGTCTTACCAGTGGGCTCCCTTCCTTAGTGTTTGCACGGCTGCCCTGGCTTTTCCTTGTCTAGCTGGGGCTTTGGGGGTGCGGCTCAGCTCAGGGTCATGCGGTCGAGGTTCCCGGGGTTGGGGAGGGGTTGCCTGGGGGGCCTTGGCCCCGTTTGCCCCTCTTGGGTCTTTGTACCCTTAGTGAGGGGCTGGCAGTTCCTCAGAGTGGGGTTGTTCCTTCCCCTTCTGTGTTCCTGTTGTTTTCGGGTATACCCCTCCCTGGGTTCGGTTCCGTGTTCCTTCATGGTTCGTCGGTCCCGTCATTCCTGGGGGTGTGTTTCGCCCCCTTTTCGCTCTTTCGTCGCGATACTGTTCCCTTTGTATCGTTGCCCCTGTGTGTCCCTTGATCAGGGGTGCTTGTCGTGGTTCTCGTTGGTTCGCGAGTCTCTTCATACCTTTCAATATTATTGGAACGTCTGTTGATTTCCGATGTGGTTTCCCTCTGGTTTTTTGTTGGCCTCGATCGTTACCTTCCGTCCTCTGTTTTCTTTCGCTTTGTTTTTGCCTTGTTTTGTTTTTGCGTCGTCTCTCCTTCCAGTTTTGCCGTTCTTCGTCTTCGTTCCGCACGCCTTCTTGGTGTTTGTATGATGTGTCTGTACATTGTGTGTGTACGATATGTGTGTCCGCCTGGTGTACGAGCCACACCACCCGGTGGACAGGTGGTGCGTTTCGTATCTCGTGCGCTGGGGCCGGGGTGTGCGTTTTGTTTATGGGCAGTATGCTCGTGTGTTCGCGTCATTTCTCGCGGTTTTCTATGGCTTCTTGCTCGTTTTCTCCCTCCATTCATAGCCCTCTGGATGCTGAGGGTGTTCTGGATTTATATCTGGGAGCATCACTTCGTTCTTCCTCTGCTTCCAGGTGTGGGATGGCTCGGCGTGGCACCTCCTCCTCCCCCTCTGCCCTGCTCAGTCTTCTGCGGGGCACGCACCTCTGGACGTGTTTCTCCTTAGACTTCCGCATTTTATTCAGGTAATGGTACATACCATGCCTACTGCCTCTAGTATGCATGGCTTTCGGGCGCGCCATTAGCGCTGCTCCTGATATGTTACTTGGCTCGTCTGTGTTGTGGCATTGCTCACTTGCAGAGCAGTGAGCAATCTCACTGCTTTGCAAGTGAGATTGTCATGTCTGGTGCCTCTGTCGGCCAGGTGTGCTGATTCTCGCTTTTTGGTGGGGTGCTTGCCTAGTTGTGCTTGCGGGGGTTGAGCTCTGGCTCTTGGGCCCCGCCTCTCCTGTCAGTTGACGGTTGTGTAGTTTCCCAAGCCTCCTGGGTTCTGTCTTTTCTACGTTTGCTCCTGTGGGTGGAGTCTGCCTCCACCACATAGCTTCCTAGTGCTTTCCGCTTCCTTTTCCCTCTGACGTTGATTGGGTTCTTTTTCGTGTCTGTGGCTTCTTTGAGTGCTAGGCTTCCTCCTGTGTCCCCTTGTGCATACGAACATAGGAATAGTGGTTCTCATCCTGTAACTTCACTTAGGTAATTACAGAGGAACTGCAGCGGGCCTCTTGGCCCGTACGAGGCTGCTCCTAGTTCTTACCACCCATTCCCACTCCTCTGCATATCCAGCTCGCGCTTGAACGAATCGTAAGGCCCCACTACCACGTTACGCGGCGATTGGTTCCGCGAATCACCGACCCTGTTCCCGTGCCGGTATTTCCTCCGGTCTTTCCTGCATCTACACTTTTCCCTTTTATGCCCATTGTTTCGTGTCCGAAATGTGCCGCAAGGGTGGCGTGTGCCACTGTCCCAGTTCTATTGTTTCGTAAAGTTTGGTGACTATAAACACTAACACTAAAAGACTACGTATATTTTGTTGCGTATACAGTAGTATGCAGGTGGTACTTTGGCGGGAAATGGTACAAGTGCAGCGCACTGAAAGTCGGTACAGTATCTCGCAAGTGTCTGTTCTAGTCTGCACTTGCTGGTAAACTGGATGCTGTATTATTTGCTACTCTGCTGCTTATATGCTCGGGTAACACCTCCCGTTCTCCGCGGGTTGGCAGGAATTTTACTTGGTAGTAAGGAAAGGTTTGAGTTCCATAATTGGTGCTATGTAGAGCTTTGCTTCTCTTAGTTCAGCTAATGCGTTTGGAGCGAGTATATTATTGGGGTAATCTACTCTCTCCACCACCCTGATCACTGCTCCTGCCCGGTTTCCTCTTCCCCGCTTGGCGGGGTTGTGTCGCTGGCTCCTAACTGGGGTGTTTGGTGTAGTGTGTTGATTGGACTTCTTCGGTGTTCCGTTTTGGTACCGAGTTCCTGCGATTTTCTGTGTGACTTACTGCAGGCTTCGGTGTTGCACTGTCTGTGGGGGATTGTGGACTTTCGGTCTGCCGCTCCTACCTTCCTGGTTCCTTTTCTTGGACCTGGTAGCTGGGTTCCAGTACTGGCTCAGGTTTTTCTTTGTTCCTTTTCCGGAACAGGTGTGTTTGCTTTCCTGCGGTTCACATCCTGGGTAGTTCTTCTCTTGGATGCCTCAGGGACATGTGCGTTATTCTTCCCTGCTGGAGTTGGTTACGTTGCTCCTTTGGGTTGCGGGGTCTTTGTTTTTCGATCCGCGTTTTGCGCTTTTGTTCGTGGTGCTAGTTTCTCGGTTGTGTCGGCACTGGTTGGTTCGTTATTGGTCTCCCACCTGCGTGTTTCGTCTCGGGGGCGGTGTGTGGTTTTTCTGGCGGTCCTTCCGATTTTCCTATCTCTGCAAAGGGTCCTTTGGTCTTTGATAGGGTTGGCTTGTCTTCCCTTTGGGGGTTGTTCCGGGACCATCGTCTGGGATCGTGTCCTGTTACCTCGTATTGGATTGGGCTAGCTGAGCCGCTCCTGCTTGCGTTCGGTATTGCGGTTCCTTCTGCTCCGTTCCGCTTGCTGTCCTAGGTGCTGTTTCCCCTCTGGCCTGCTCTTGCGTTCTGGTGCCGCCCTGGTCATTGGCCTGGGTGGTCTATTTTCTTCTCGTTTTGGTCTTTGTTTTGTCTGTGGTTTTGATTTTTCGGTTAGGGCGTGTGGCGTCTGCCTCCCGGTTCCTTCCCTGTTTTCCTTATTTGTGGTGAGGTAGCTCCGGGGAGCTGACGGGGCTTCCCCCAGAAAACCAGCGTTGAATGTAATGAAACGCCATTTTCTGGGTGAGTCCTGGGGGCTCCCCGGCATCCCTCCCTCCCTCCGGTCAGCGGTGTTTTTAGCGTATTTTGACATCCAGCCTAAGAACTGCCAGTTGGATCTCTGGCATGGAGGGTCTGGGGCTCCCCCTTCCCCCTCCAGGGGAGAGGGGGGGGGTTGCGCAGATGGTGGCACAGCGACATGATGACGTCATATTAGTTTTATAATTTTGTTTGGGGAGTTCTGTCCACTCGTTTGGCTTTCGGTAGCAATATTTTCACCAGAATAGGGGTTGGTTTTGGGGCGCCTACCTTTCTGGGTGCATATCCCGGTCGATGGCAGACATAGAATGCTCCCAACCACAAGGGGGTTTCTATAGGCCATTGCTCCTCGTGCCTCTCTGAGGGGCCCAGGTTCTGGCTCGTGGTCCCCGGTAGGCAAAAACTCCTAGCACTTTGACTGATGCCAGAAAGTTATACATATCCATTCAGCCTGGATAGCTCTGGGGAGCCTCCGGGACTCACCCAGAAAATGGCGTTTCATTATATTCAACGCTGGTTTTTTGGGTGCTTCTTTAGGCGATGGGAAGATGACAAATGTAAAGTGTTCATGGGCTATTTCTCCCTGCACCTCTCAGAGGAGACTTCTGGTTCATGGTTCTCTGTAGGCATGCATGAACTCTGGGAATGATGACTCAGAGTAGTATGGTACTTAATCAGTTGAGATAGCTTCAGGAGCCTCTGTGGCTCATCCAGAAACTGGCGTTTCATTATATTCAACGTTGATTTTTGCTAAATGTTAACAGGCAATGGAGAAACACGACTCAGATGAGGCATCTCAGTATCAGCAGTGGTCGTGGCAACAGTTATCCCCTCGAAACCTTGACCATAGAGTTAGAATTCCGACTGCCATCACACTTCATCGCTTGGTCCCTAAGGCTCCAACACCAACAACTAAACATACTTTCAAAGTAAGTCATTATATTTTTAAATTTTATTATATATATTTTGCAGGTATAACACAGTACCACCAACAAAATGAATAATTTCTACCTTAGTTGCAGTGAAAGCAATAGTGTTGAATGAAATAAAATGCCCCATTATAAAATACACCTCAGTGGCTTCCTTCAGCTTACATCTCCATGATGTAAAGGACACTGTGACAACACCAGACTTCTGGTAACAAGTCAGCATGCCCAGACAAGGATACATTATTGCAATCTAATGAATAAGAAATTTAGAAATACCGCATTCTTCCCTCCTTTAGATTGTTTGCTAATAATAAGTGAGCAGAGCAGATAAATATAATACTTCTCATCAATACACTAATTACTATGCTACATGATCTTAATCTCAGCCATAAAGATCAGGAGGCCTTGGTACCTGGGCAGACTTTCTGGGACTCTCTAGAAAAAGTGGATCATTGTCACTGTGTATTCCATATGGCTATTCACAATCTTGAGTTCTAGATGTCGTTGGGGAGGCCATCATTCTTGCCCCAATACTGTATGAGCTCGATTATCCAACACCTGCTAAACCAAATATATGGATTATCCAGCCAAAATCACCTATCGGACAATATTCTGGCAAAACTTCACCATATGCAGACAGAAATCTGGATAACTGGAGATTTGGTGGATAAAGCAGACTGGCATCGAGTCTAAGTCAAGTCTGGAGGATTTTCTGGCAAAATTTTTGCTATATCCGAACAGGAATCAAGATAACCGGAGATTAGGTTGCATCAGTGTTCAAGAACTACACATGTCTAGATTAACAGTATCAAACAAGAAGACAAACTAAAACAAAGTAGAAAGCTGAAGTTTCTGTTTTGAGTTATATTGCTGATTTATTGTGTTTGTGTATGTGGAAATTTGAATTATGCTGGTTGTAGGACAAATAATTGTGAATATGGTAATTTCTGTGGGAAGCCTTATCGGCTCCCTGAAGCTATCTCATTGATATAGTGCTATCCTATTTGAAGTCATCAGTCACAGAGTTCTTGTCTGGCACTGGGTACCAGTGCCAGAACTTGGCCTCCTCAGTTCATAGGCCAAGGAGTAATGGCCTATGAATAATTTACATTTAAAGTATATCATATGTGCCATTGTCCAGGGAAGGCACCCAGAAAGGTAGATGAAACAAAACAGACCCCTGTCTGGTTGAAAAATGCAACCTACATCCTCAAAAGAGCAAAAGAACCCCCACATAAAGAAAACAAACAAGCAACACTTTGTTCAACTAACCGCCCCGCTCGTTAGAACAATATGCCCCACGGCTCGAGTGAGCCCGGCTACCCAAGATTCAGTTCTTGACTGATGGTCCTGGCGGTCAGATGTCACCTCAGGCCTCAATTTTCTGTTTTGGGATTTTTGCCTTGTACGGCTGTCCCTGCACTTGTATGTGTGCTGGCCTGGCATTCCTGGGTACTGGAGCTGCATGCGTTTAGGGACACATTCAATAGGTGCTCCATGAATACTGCCATTGCATGGTCAGGGTTATCTTTTCTGGGGCATTCGGGAAACACTCCCAGTTAGAGTACTTCCTCGCTTGTGGTTGTCCTCGCTCTTAGGGTCAGGTGAGACTCATGGGCTTTCTATCTTGCTTTCTGCCTTGCTCCTGGCTGCACTGCAGCTTGCACAGTCTGCTTAACCTAAAGCTGTGCTGCGTTTATTGTGACATTGTGGCAGTGCACAGAAAATAAAGTGTTCCCACACCAATTTTTTTTTTATTTTTCTGGGGGGAGCCCCGTCGGCTCCCCAGAGCTTTACCGGCTGATATGCTAATGTCAGACTTTGGCATCAGTCATGTGTATGGAGTTCTAGGGCCTACCAGGGACCACGGCCAGAACCTGGCCCCCCTCAGAGAGGCAAGGGGAGCAATGGCCTATAGAAACCCCCGTGTGGTAGGAAGCATTCTATGTTTGCCATCGACCGGGTCAAGCATCCAGAAAGGTAAGCATTCCAAAACAAACCCCTATTCTGGTGAAAATTGCTACCTAAAGCCGAACTAGTGAATAGAACTCTTCAACAGAAAACAAGGAAACTAGTATGACGTCATACGTCACCGCGCCGCTGTCTGCGCAGCTCCCCCCTCCCTGGGAGGGGGAAGGGGGAGCCCCAGACCTCCCACGCCGGCTATCCACCCATCAGTTCTTCGGCTGATGCTATAGGCACCAGTTATGTGCTCCGGCTCCAGTGGTTGTTTCAGCACCGTACCTAGAGTGTGGTGTCTGTTTTCTAGGTGGTGCGTGAGCCGGGAGTGATTCTCCAGTACTCAGGCTGCATGCGCCTAGGGTTCCCTTCCCTAGGTGCCCTGTAAGTACTGCCCTTGGGGCTTGGGGCCACCTTCCACAAGTTCCTTGGGTCCTGCCCCTGCTTGGCCGTTTACTGCTTGGTTTTCGGCCGCTCTTTGTGTGCTCGGGTGTTCTGTCTCCCTTGTTCACCTTAGAGTAAGGGGCAATTTTTGCACTGGTGGGGCGCAGGGTACTGTGCAGCTTGTCTTTACCAATCATAGCGGCCGGCTCTGTTCCGCTTGGGTACGCTGTCCTCTTGCTGGGTATACTTTTTCTTTTTGTTTATCTACCTGGTGGGGGGGGGGGGGTCTGCCTTCGTTCTTGCCCCTTGTGTCCTGAGTATTTTCTGGTGGTACCCCCTGCTAGGTCCCCATGAGTGTACACGTCCCGGGGGTTCAGCTCTTAGAAAGTTGTTTGGTAGCTTTGGGTGCCGGTTAGCAGTACCCTGCCTGGGATTACCTGAGCGTGAGTCCTCTTATAGTAAACGCTCGGGACCCTGGGAAACCCCTGGGGGCGCGCGGGTCCGATGGATGTGACGCCAGAGCCCCCCCTCGCTTCCAGCGAGTTTGAGGGTTGCTCTCACCCTTTGTCTCTGGGTGACTCTCTGTTTTGCCTCCGTCTGCTGCCTGTGGGGTCGGTGACACCTTCGACCCGGAGTCCTGCGAGTTTGGTTGCTCGTTGTGGCTCGGTTACCCAGTTGTGCTGACAAAGCGGGTGCGGGCAGCAGGGGCGTTGCACTTGAGCCTTGGTGATGGCAACGTTCTCGTGGTTTCCTCCCCGGTAGCCCCGGGGCTGCCCCGTTGTAGTTCGTTTTGGGACTTGGGGGTGTTGGTTGCTTTGGTTCCTTCCACGCCCCCTTGTCTTTCCCCTGGATCCCCCTTCCTGCCTGCATCCGGTTCCTTACTGTCTGTAGGTTCGGGGCGGGGTTTTTGGTGTTGAGACTCGGGCAGTCTCGGGGAATTCCCCTTCCGGGGTAGTGACGGGGGCATTTGAGCCTGTTCCTCCAGCCGTGTTGTATGAGTCTGCCAGTGGGCTCCCTTCCTTAGTGTTTTCACGGCTGCCCCGGTTTTCTGGTACGGCCGGGGCTTTGGGGGAACGGCTCGGCCCCGGGGCCTGTCGTGTAGGTTCCCGGGGCTGGGGAGGGGCTGACTTGGGGGGGCCTTGGCCCCGTTGGACCCCGTGGGGGTTATTATCCCCCTCTAGGCGGGGCTTGTGGTTATACGGAGTGGGGTCTTTCCTCCTCACTCGCCGTACGTGCTGTTGGGCGTCGGCCCCTCCCCGGGCTCGGTTCCTTGGCCTTTGAGTCGGTTGGTTTCGTCCTGTGGGTGGATGTTTCCTCCCACCCTTTTTTGGGACGGTGTTTTCGTCATGTTTCCCCGTTCGATGGGGTTCTACGTGACTTCTGATCTCGGGTGCACCTGCGCCTTTGTGTGCCTTCGGGACTAGTGTTGGCTTCTGTGTTCTCGAGGGTTTGGGAAGGTTTTTCACTACTTCCCGCATTATTGGAACGTCTGTCGGCTCTTCGTCCTTGTCGGCGTTTTGGGCTACTTGTGAGCCGGTTGGGCTACTTGTAGCTCTGTTGGGCTGCTTGTCGCTCTGTTGGGCTACTTGTCGCCCTGTTGGGCTACTTGTCACCCTGTTGGGCTACTTGTCGTACTGTTGGGCTACTTGTCGCCCGGTTTGGTTCCTTTTTGGGCTCTTTGCTTCTTTGGCCGGTTTTATTGTTCCTGTTTCCTCTTTTGGCTACTTTTCTAGTGCAGTAGTCCTGGTTGGCGCCTTCCAGCAGAAAGGGTTGTGCGGTTCGGCCAGCGTGTCATGCGCATGCGCCGTGGAGTTTGTTTTGGTCTGGGCAGTGTTTCAGCGCTGGTGTTTTGAGCCCTTTTTGCTACGGTGCTTCACCTCTCGTTCTTCTCCCTGGCTGCGGTATGTGCCCCTTCGCTCTGGGGGTGTCCTGGTTCCCAGTTGTGGGGAGGACACCGTGGTTTTCCCTGTGTCATGGGTGTGGGCTGCCTCCTTTGCCTCTCCCTGCTCTCCTGCGGGTTTGGCAAGGTCCGGCTCTGGCGTCTTCACCTGGCGGTTCTCCCAGGTTCTTCTGGGCACGGTTGAGTCGTGTCAAGTTCGTGCCACCGTTCACCAGGTGAGTTTCTGTGGTCTGGCGTCTTTGGGCCGGGCGCTGGATGCGGTGTTGTTTATATACCTGTCTTTATTTAGGTATATTTTTGTACGACTGAGACCGTTCACACACCAGTGACTGTCCCTTTTTCAACCCTTCCTGCCCCCCTCATGTGCATGTCCAACCCATGCTAGAGTCATTCAGGGGACCCACCTTTTTTCATGTTGTGAGGTGTGGGGGTTGTAGGGTTGGTTCTGTACTCACCTGGTAAGGCTCCTGGCTGTGCTTGCAGGGTTTGAGCTCTGGCTCTTGGGTCCCGCCTATCTGGTAGTACTTGCGGGATAGTACCAGTGGAGCGCAGTGGGGCTATTGGCACAATTGGGGAACACTGTATTACCATCAGAGGTCTGTGCTTGTTACACGACCTCCTTGCGAGCATAAGCCTTCTTGCTGGTTCGTCCGTGGACTTCCAGGGCACACTAGCCTGTTTTCGTATCGCAGTTCCGGCCCATCCTGGTTGTGGAGGTCTGTGGGCCGGCGGGCCGCTCCTAGCAGCTGCCTGGTGG